CAGCACATTGCAAAATCAATCGTGCATCTGATCGTTATTACAGAGATCTCGTCGATCTCATCTTCTCGGTAAACTTTTGCATTGGGCGAACGCTCAGGCGGCGCTCGTCGCGGCCTGCTGCAACGCCAAAGTACCATCTTGATTGCTCGCGAGAGTTGGGACGGTCAAGACCCAGACGGGACTTGAGGTCTGCGGTATCACGGACAGCCAAGAAGGCTTCGTCGTGGACTGTATCCTCAGCTGTGCACAAGGCAATGAGCTCTGCGAGACAGTTGACGGGATGGGGAATGTGAAGAGCTTGACGACGAGGCAGCATCAAGGTGAGACAACCAAGGTAAAGGAACAAAAAGGCAAGTAAGACGCCAAAGACAGGCATGTTGGGAAACATCTTGACTTGGCCGCGGAAGTTGGTGAGGGCCATGAAAAGGCCGCCAGCGAGGATAGGGATAAAAATGAAAACGGTGGCCATGAAGGACATCACTGCAACTCGCCAATGGCCGTTACGAAGAGCGTTCCAAGTACACTGGAACGGAAGGCAGGCTGCGTAATCAGCAAGGATGGACTTGGATGCGATTGAGCCAGATGATCTGGACAGATCCGCCCAAGGTTGATGAACCCGCAGAGCATGGTCGACGCTTCGGAAGAGCAGGAACATGATCATGCCCAAAACCGAGGGGACAAAGGCGTAGAGGAAGTTGGCCGCAGAGAAAGATCCGCCATTGGGCCTTGCTTGAACTTGAGGGAAATAGCCCTGGTCCAGCCTCGTCTGTGGCAAGAAGGAGACCACAAGAATGGCCAGGATGAAGAGAGTCATGAAGATGACCGAGCCCAGAATGACAGGAGTGCGTAGGGCAATGGGCAAGTACCTGTAATGCGCATAGCGGACCTCGGCCTCGAGATCATCTCGGGAAGAAGCAGGCGAGATGTTGTAGCTGGCCTTCTTGGGGATAATCTTGTAGGTACTGCGGTCACCTTGGAAATCTTCACCCACAGAACCAATGCCGTACCACATGCCACCTTGTGGGCCATCCATCTGCCAGTATCCAAGTCTGTCAAGATGGCGATCTCGGAGCTGAGCTTGAAATAGGGAGCTCCTTTGAACCACATCGACGCCCTCGTAGCTTTTGGTAGTGTTGCTCTGGCTCAGTAGTGGAAGAAGATGTCCTAGAGATCGAATATCCCACATGAGACCTGTCCATCGTTTAGACCAGTACAACATCAGTAAGATGGTTGCAATCAGTAACAGAACATAGAGTGCGACAAGAGTCCAAGTGATACCCTGAACTGCAGCCCAAACCCAGCTCCCATCCTGATAGATGCAGGAGAAAGCAGTGCTCATGAGAGGAATGGTAAAGTTGGCGAGCCATGTACAAACACTGAAGAATTGGAATTGCCAAGGGCCTGTCAGTGACGGTAACAAGAACGTTAGAGGATACAGTCTTCGGAAAAGCGCGAGGTATCGTGCTCGGGGCTCAGCATCGGCCATGGCCGCGAATGGAAGTGTTCGCATTGAAGCAGCGACAACTGATTGCGCGTAAAGGAGGACAATGGCAGCAATCATCTGAGGCATGATGCGAAACAAGAAGTATTGACCACTGTATATACTTCCGGGATACGGAGTGAATCCAAATTGCTTCTGTGAGTAAACGGCGCAGAAGATGAGAGCGGTGATCATGAGCAAGCATAGTACAGTAAGAATACTCAGGGAGATTGGCCGAATGATGGCGGGCTTGAATGTGAGAGGAGGATGCGCTCGGTCGATGGGAATGGATCGAGGACGAGTCTTCTCCCGTTGGGCGAATTGGTCGTGCTCAGAGTGGTTTGAGGGAGTTGGTGGTTTAGGAGGACTTCTCACATCGTGACGAGCCGCTGGCGCAGCGTGGAACATCTCGGCGGGGATCTCTTCTTGGGGAGCGCGTGTTTCGATCGGTTCTGGTAAACGATCTTCAACGTAAGCGGGCTCCGGGCGTCTCAATTGATGGTGTCCCATCTCGTCGTTGGCATACCGTCTTGGTTGCGCGTAATCATCCTCGTAGTCATTTGATGAACCAGAGGGGAATCGCGCGGTAGAAGGACCACCATGATTTCTTGTAAGTGCTTCGAGAGCATACTGAATATAAGGCGTGTCGTCGACACCTGGAGTGACTTTGCCAGCGGCTATCGTCAATTCATCCTTTATGCTAGCCATGCGAGCTGAGTTCTCGGCGGCGAACATGGCCAATTGTGCCTCGTCGAAGCGTACAGATGTAGGACGAACAGCGGTAGGAGGACTAGGGATAGCAACAGGAGCAGGCGGTGCGGTAGGCGGTGCAGCTCGAGCACTGCGAGCAGATCGAGGCCTAGGAGGAGCAGTGTAGTGTATTTGTGTTGGCGGTGTAGGCGCTGCAAAACCTCCAGGAAGTTCAGAGCCGAAGAGTCGCTCTGGGCCGTAAATCTCAGCTGATGACGCTGTGACCTTGGATGGAGGTAGTGAAGGAGGCGAAGGAGCGAAGAAGAGAGCACCAGGTGGTGATGCTGATGGGTTGGTTGAGTTGCGGCCTACACGCTGTCTAAGATCATAGTAAGGATGAAGGATTGGCTGCGATTGATCGTCGTCGTCAATTGATTGTTGGCCTGGAGTTTGTCTCTTTGGGAGGCCTTGGCCTGTGAGGGTTTGCCCGTCAGCGACACCGACAATGAATGAAGGTGCAGTAGTAGTTGGGTGTGGATGTGGGTGTAGACGCAGGTGCAGATTGTGTAGCAAATGTGTGGTGGTGTCCAAAAGCGAATGTTGGAGGGGAAAAAGAGGGTGTAGTGTCACATACGAGGTCCTTCCACAAAGTCGAAGTTGAAGTTTTGGAAGTTCATGCTGGTTTGGGCAGGTTGACTTGAATTGTTTCCTGTTTGGCTCTGATATTGGGAGGGAGGGTATAAACTTGGCTTGCAGATGCAGACCGACTTGTTCCCACTCTCCACACTCACTCTTCGTCTCAGGACCAATTGATAGCACGAAACAGGATTCTAGAGAGAAAATAGCAAAGGCATGCTGCAGGCTAAAGAGAAAATATGAGATATGGTTGGACTATGAAGACTCTTTTCACGAGGCTGGGTTCTTTGGAGAGGCTGGTAATGATAGTAACATGAAGGCACTAAGTGTTCCCAGCCCCCGTGCCCCACCAAAGCTGGATTGATGTCTTAAAGATGACAAGGAAGGTGATGACAGGGAAGAGATTGACTTACAGCTAGAAGCAAGAAAAAGAAAAGAAAAAGTGAAGCAAAACTGTCAATACTAGATGGAGAACCAAGAGAGGTCTCGGGAGGTTCTTAAGAGTTTTGGAAAGAGAAAAAACGTTGGGCAGAGAGAAAAGTCGGGTTTCCATGGGATGCTGATGGATGTCTTGCGACTGCTGTGTTGTCACTGCACGGGCAAAGAACAAGGCCAGCGCAAAGTTTGGCTATACCTAGTCGGGTCTAAATCATACGGCCCGTCGGGAGCAAGCTCACCATGACTGATGGCTTGAGCTGTCACAATCACACCTCCATTTAGAGAATGATGGATATGAATTTGGTCTAGGTAGATGCCTACGAGGCTACTAGTTGTATAGGCTACTCTTGTTTGTAAAGCTTGTGCTCAGATGCCCATCTTGGTTTGTAAAGCTCACTACACTAGTCTTCCTAATTAGAAGGTAATGACGTCTGTCTTACCCCAGACTAGAAGTTCCCACTCATGATTGACAGGGGTCTGAGACATTACCAACCACCTCATGAGCTCACCTAGGCAATCAGCTCAGCTTCCTCTCATGGCTTTGGTGAGCGTTTAGAGATTCGGCTACGAGTTCGAAGTGTCATGCCGACCGTTTCAGGCACTAGCGTTCGTTGTCAATTCGACTGTCCGATATTTTGTTTGACCTTAATAGACTGAATGCTTTGAACAGGGAGAGAACTCGGGTAGGGAGTAACACAAGAGTCACACAACAGCAGAGGTGCGGTCAGGCATCTAATTTTATACAAACACACTGACCTTCACTAATAGAGAGAGATGAAAATAGTAATTCATTTTTAGATCAACTTAATCATAAGTAATTCATCTTCAACTGTCAAATCTGTTTCTCATGCGAACTACATGCAAAAGCAACCTGAACTCGGCTTACACTAGCTGAAGTGGCATCACCGACCCACTGACAGCTCAAATACTGTACACATAGAGCATATTCTGCAAGGGCGCGCTGTAATTAATGTATCTCATACTAATTCATGCAAGGTACATGCAACATAAAAACAAAATAGATTGGAAAAGAGACCAGGATTGTATCTATGGTTGGTGTTTGATATGTCTGTCCCAGTCTTTGAGAGGTTGGTTATCAAAGCGTCGGGTTCCCTCTGCGTCATGGTAGTAAGGTCAACACGACGAGAAACACTGTCTCCCGGTCCTTTGGAATGATTTTCTATTGGCGAACAGGTAAAGATTATGGGTTTCCCTGTTAAGATCAATGCTGGGCAATCTGATTTTCTCTTTACTTCAAGGGATGAAGTAGTGGCTGGCTGGCCGGCTTGGACCACCAGTGGTTTGATTAGTCAATCAGCTGAAAACTATTCAAGCTTCCAGCCATGCATAAACAGTTTCACTGGAAGAGTAATAAAAAAATAATTTACGCCGCCTCGTATTGAACGTCTCTTTTTGGGTTCATTTACAACCAACTAAAGTCAAAACGTTTTCCACGGGCTAGACGGGGCACTCGTTGGATTGAGTTTGACATTTCAGACTACTAACCTAGCTCAATTGACGATTAATCACGTGATCGTGTCTTAGTCGTGTCTCTGTAAGCCTGAGATAATCAACCAAAATCTTGCATGCATCCCCACAATTTGGAACTGTCAATCATTGACCAATCCGCTGAGCAATGATGACAAAGTTAATGAGAAATGGCAAAACACAATTAGCTATATCTTGTCAGCGTTTTTCAATCAACTTCAAATTTAATACAGGTATATTCTCGTGAATTCGGTGAATTCGTCTATATATGTTTCGTTCCGGTCCCTTGATTGCGATTTTCGTCGCTGCAGTTTCCATCCTCATCATCATCTATTCACCAGCAAACAGCTACATCAACCACCTTCAACAACTTACCACAAACTTCATCTTCACAAACAAATCATCAACAATAGAAGCAGCTCATCAGAGCCAAATGATCAACGCTGCAAAGAACATGTCCAAGTCACTCCGCCAAGCAAAGATCACTCCCCACCGTTCCAGCAACAGGGGTCACAGCGACCATGGCTGGCTCAACACATACCACTCGTTTTCTTTTGCCGACTGGTATGACCCAAAGTTCACTCACTTTGGTTCTCTCCGCGTCCTCAATGAGGATCGTGTAAAGGCCAACTCGGGTTTTCCCACGCACCCTCACCGTGACTTTGAGATCTTCTCTTACATCATTGGAGGAGAACTCACACACCGAGACTCAATGCTCACCAAGGGTAAGGAGGGAGGCCAGTCCGACAAGTTCTTCCGCATGAATCGAGGAGACGTCCAATTCACTACTGGTGGAACTGGCATCGCCCACTCTGAATTTAACGAGCACAAGTCCGACACTGTGCACTTTCTGCAGATCTGGGCCATTCCCTGGAAGCGCGGCCTGGTTCCCCGATACCACACCCGTCACTTCAGCGATGAGTCCAAGAGACAGGGCTTTGTCAAGATTCTGAGCCCTCTCAAGGGCGGCGAGGATGCTACTGCCCAGCAGGAGAAGGTTGCCGAGCCCGTCATTCCCGACACCATCCCCATCCACGCCGATTTTGTCATGGGAGCTGGTATCATCGAGCCAACCAACAAGTTCGAATGGACAGTTGGAGGAGGCGCTACTGAGCAAACCAAGAGAAAGGTTTACGTGCACGTTCCCATGACCAAGGGAGGAAAGGCCAAGATCCGTCTGGATGGCCGCGAGGATGCTGAGATCTTCGAAGGCGACGGCGCCTTTATTGAGGGTGTCAACGCCGGAGATAAGCTCGCAGTGGAAAGCATTGGTGAGGTAGAGGCAGAGGTTGTTGTTTTGGACACTGCATAAGCACAAAATGTCCAGTCATGACTTGGCCGAAGATTTCCTATTCGTATACTATAGATGGGCGAGCGATATCGCTCGAGAGAAGTCTCTGAATGTATTTAGCGTAAATCAGTAAAATTGATTTTCCTTCTATAAAATCTCTCAATTCCCCTCTGACCTAAAATAGTGATGTGTGTAACCAACAAGTGGAGGCATCAAATGACTCAGGCAACACAGTTGTGAACGAGATCGACAAGGAAGGTTGTTGTCCCAATTGAATCCGCAGTGGAGAATAATTTGAGCTCGTTCTAGGACCTACAGGACGAGAACAAGGTTCGTTTATCCAACAGTGTAAGGAAAGCGACATCATATCCATGAATGATGGCCGAATCTTTTGTATGTTTTTAGGGCGTTGCTGAGCACTTGAGGGATCCACGACTGACCTTGGTCTGCCGAGCCAGTAGTTATACCTGCAATGTAAATGAATAGTCCACTATCAGATTGGACGAGAAAGAGTGAAGGACACGTAAGATGGCTAGGAGGGAAATCGATATATCTGACATTGAGGGAAAAGAATTGGGTATTGTTAGTTGATGTTGAAGCCTGCTTGATAAAGCCGATGGGCCAAGATCGTGACGCTGAAGTCAGTCTTCCAAAGTAGGGTCCTGGATTTGTTCGCCAAGTGAAACGGTTGGATTTTGGTGCGAGACGGCTTTGTGAGGAGATTGTGTAGAGGTCAGGCCAAAAAGAAAAGGCGGTGGATGTGCGGTCGATGAATGTAAGACCCAATAGCAAAATAGAAACACGAGAATAACCACAGACCATAGGTAGACAACAGGGGGTCATACATGAGATATAAGAAGTAATCACAATGGGTGTTCTTAATATGCCACATCTGATACCCTTCGAAACAAATATTGGTAAATATTGGACTAACTGACAACTTGGCTAGCGGCTGTTATTGAGAGTAAACCATGAGTTCTAGGCTCATCAGAAGGAAAAAAAGAATAAAAGCCACAATCGGAGCCAAGGCGGAGGTCTCAGGCTAACAATCAAACTCCTTTTGTTATTCGTTATCTGTTTCTCTAGGTACCTACCTAGGTACGTACAAAGGTGAGCGATGCATTTACATGATACTTCAAGAAAGTATTGAGGTAGGTAGGATGGATTAAATATCTGATGTCACTATAATAAGGATTCTCGGGAGGAAGCGAAGAGTGTCGATCAATGGCAAGGAATAACCCCTCCGATCAGCCATGTCACAACGTGGTCAGAGCTTGAGGGTCCTTGGCTCCATCACCGCCAAGTCGAGTCTCCAGAGGTTAGACCCTTATTAAAAGTGGCGATCAATTTCCTCTCACGGGTTCCATTGGTAAAGGAAGCCAGTATCTGTCCAGCATTCATCAGAAGTGACAATAGCTTCCATCCAATATTTACACTATGATTTTAGCCCTACAGCGATGACTCGAGCTGTAACAAAATGCTATTGGTCAACCGAGATGCAGGAACCGCTAGTCGCATCGCTTAAGTTAGCTCACGACTCCACGGGAAAGCTGGACCCAAACAGGGGTAGGAGCCCGAGAACCAACAACGAACAAAGTTACAACCAACCTCTACAGCTTCTTTCTTCATCACTCGGTTTCCCCTTGGGCTTTTCTTAGTTTGGAAAACTGAGCCGAGGCTTTAGGTTCAAGTTCAAGGAGTTCTTTTTGATATACAACGGGTCACTCAGCAATGCAGTTCAAATCTCAGTCAAAAGACGTGGTCAAGCTCAGCTATTCATTCATGTCAACTTGATCTATCTTTGCCGGAAATACTTAACCTTGTTTTGAATCCCTATACCCACAGTTAGAATGCCTCTTGAAGTCTTAGCCCTCACCGGAAACCTCCCAACGTTGACGCCGCGATTCAGGAGGATATCACCCGTCCACGGAGTTTCGGTACATTTGGTTCTCTTGCCAAGATCAAATCTACATCACTCCGCCTCGTAGCGTCAAGAAATGGTATCATTTATTCATCTTAGCCTTATCTCTATTCTCCATTCTCCCCTTGGCGTATCGGTTACACGGCTCAGCTGCCCATTTTTCAATAGTCCCTCGCTTTCGACCAACGCTTAGCCTGTTCCTGAAAACGATAGTCTACTAACTAACAACTTCAGCTGTCTAAACTGCACAAACGTGCAGCCTCTTAGACCTAAACTTTCTCACTTTTTTCTCTAGTGGAGATTGCTTCTTGTAGCGCGGCCGACATCAAGCTGTCCCATCGAGAACCCCAAAAGTCCATGTCGAAACCGCACCTCTCTAGTGAGAAGAGTATTGACTATGTCCAAGATAGGCAACTTCCAACCCATATGGCTGGGTTCCAGCAGCTTGACTAACAGTGGAAAGGAGATGCGTCCAGTGCGAGCAGCCCCTTGCTCGGAGTAGAGTAGCTCTCTTGATAATATATGGCATTCCCTCTTCTTCTCTCTCGTGCTCTTATTGTTTCCCATCAACTTCGTTGACACTCGATCCAAGTGACGACCTGGTTCTAGGCCCCATTGCAAGCTTTGGTTTGCGTCCTTTCTTTGATCGCGATATCATCACACATTCTTTACCGGCCTTGGCCACTTTACAGTCTTTCACGCAATACCGTCTTTTGATCAGTCACTATGGATCTGTCTTCTATCCCCAACAATCTTCCAGTCATTGCTCCTGTCATTCAGGCCTTCGGTGGTCTCAATGGCTACTGGGTATGTACACTGTCGCAACCATAAAGAACCGTTAACTAAGTGTATCTCCTACCTAGGGTCAACGCGGGTTTGAGCCCCTCAAAGCCTACTGTGACTCTCACCCTGAATACATCACACTCTCTTTCGTGAACCAAGCTCCCGAACACAGTGACTCGAATCTTCCCGGAACCAACTTTGCTGGGCATTGTGCAGGCGGCACCTATGAAGACTCCAATCTCCTCAGCGAATGCTATACCATCAAGGAAGGAATTCCGTACTGCAAGGATCGTGGTGTCAAAATTCTACTGAGTATCGGTGGTGTTTACAACGAGGCAGGAAGTAACTATAAGGTGACCAACGACGACAAAGGCCGAGAGTTTGCCGACTTCCTCTACAAGGCGTTCGGTCCTTACAATGAGCATTCGGGTACTATTCGCCCCTTTGACAGTGTCGATGAAGATGGCAATACTGTTCATGCTGCAGTTGATGGTTTCGATTTCGATATCGAACATGATCTTCGTAAGTGATTGAGTAAGACATCTTCTAGAGTTGAACATTCGTTAACAATTGAAAGCCAATGGCCCTTACATCGCCATGATCAACCGACTTCGCGAACTCGACGAAGGAATCACTATCACTGGTGCGCCTCAGTGCCCAACTAGCGAGGAGTACTTTTACATGAAGGAGATGATCCAGTCGGCCAAGTTCGATGCCCTGTTTGTGCAATTTTACAACAACCGCTGGTGTGATGCCGTTTCAGAAGATCTTGAGGGTGAAGGTTTTAACTACGACAAGTGGGTGGATATAATCGAAGACAGTGATTGCAGCAAGGATGCCAAGCTGTATGTCGGTCTCCCTGCTAGCGAAGAAGCCGCACCAGGTGGCGGTTACCTTGAGCCCGAAGATCTGAAGGATCTTGTCTGTGAACTCACGACAAAGTCTCATTTCGGTGGTGTTTCTCTGTGGGATCTCACTCGTGGAGAAGAGAACATTGTTGACGGAAAGAGCTACAACGAACATGTCATGGATGCTCTCAAGTATGGCTGTGCCCCTGTGCCAGTTCCTACTACCACCACCAGCGCCATGACCACAACCACTGAAGAGGCTTCTACCTCTACCGACGTCGCGACAACTGAAGCATCCACAGTTGATACTACCACTGCATCTAATGTTTCTACAACTTCTGGTGCTTCATCGACGGAGGATGCTACTTCGACTGACACCACCACCGCCTCTGATGTATCTTCAACTGATGATGCCACAGCTACCTCTGACATTTCTGCTACCACCAACAGCGATGCCGCCACTTATACTGCCGCCACCACTTCCGCCGATGCCACTGCTTCTACTGATGCTGTATCAACTGATACTACTGCTTCTACTGGTGCTGTATCAACTGATACTACTGCTTCTACTGATGCTGTATCAACTGATGCTACTACTTCAACTGATGGTGCTTCTACCGACGCTATTGCCTCAACTGATACTACTACTTCTACCGATGCTACTGCTTCTACTGATGCCACTGCATCCGCGGAGACAGCTACTAGTGCCGGTACAAACACTTCCAGCGCCGTCACCGAGTCTACCACTGGAGCATCTGTCACAGCCACAGAATCTTCAGCTGACACCACTATGGCTTCAACGACCGACAGTGCCTCGACAAGTGATGCCCTCTTTGTTACATCTGACGTGTCTGCGACTGTTGATAATTCTGCTGCCACTGGAGCAGCTTCTAGCTCAACTGTCGATTCCCCCATTAGCAGCGACACTGCTACTGGCACTGCTGCGACGACCGATGTTTCGCGAGCTACAGAGTCGACCGCTTCGGCCACAAAGACTGAGCCCGCGACTGTCGCGACCGCCTATAGCACTCTCCGAGGCTGGAACACTACATCAACGGGCACCGCTGCCTACACACAGACATACGGTAACCCTTCTACCCTTGTTCATTCTGGCTCTCTTACCACAAAGGGATCGCCTGCCTACACCAACTATCCTGGAAACACAGATGCTGTTAGCATGACTACCAGCACCGTCTGCACTACGCGAGTCCACACCGTCACCAAGTGCCCCCCTGAGGTTGTTGACTGTCCCTATGGATCTGTCACAACTGAGACTATTCCCTTGTACACTACCGTCTGCCCAGTCACTGGTAAAGCTAAGCCTACTGATTACGCTTCCCAGTATGCTGCTCCTCCTCAGTATGAGACCAGGACTGTCTACACCACAAGTGTCCACACCATCACCAAGTGCGCTCCTGGTGTCGTTAACTGCCCTTACGGATCTGTCACCACTGAGACTGTCCCTGTCTACACTACTATCTGTCCTGTAACAGAGGCTGATAAGCCAGCTCCTACTGATGTCCTTGTCAACCATAAGACCAAGACTCTCTACACGAGCCAGGTTCATACCGTCGCCCAGTGTCCCCCTGAGAACCCCAACTGCCAAGTCGGTGCCGTCACTACCGAGATCGCATCATGGACAACAGCCATTGTGCCCGTCAAGGAGACCCAGTCCATCAAGGCTTACAAACCTGTTGCCGAGCTCCCTAAGCCGCTAACGGTTGGATCTCATCTCAATGGCACAGTCTACACCAGCGTTGCTGTCCCCCCTGCTACGCTCAAGACAGCAACCAAGCCTGGTGTTTTCGAGCAGGCCAAGCCCACAGACAAGCAGCCTGCTCAAGAGCAACACTCTGGCGCTGCTGCTCCCACAGGTGGCCACAACGGTGAGGCTCCTATCGATACCTATATACCCACGTCCATTACTCCCGTTACTGCTGGCGCCTCTTCAATGGCCGTAGGCCTGACTGCTTTGGCAGGCATTGCACTTCTGCAAGTCCTTGCTCTGTAGTAGTGTCACCACGTTTACTCTCCTTTTTGTTGATTCTTCTTTTTCTTTTTCTGGTTAGCAAAACCGGGATCGCTTTACTATACCTTCTTCAACGTAAAGGGCAACCTTTACAACTTCATGTCACTCCAATTATGTTATAATGTGTATAGAACGAATACATAACTACCCATGTTACGGCTAAAACTCAATAATAATGTCCAATGTAGTTTATAGAAACAACTGCGATTGTGTATATGACAATGTTTCAGAAAATCTCACCTGATTATGTTATGTATATGTATATGAAACGCTCTTCTACGCTCAACTCGATGAATCTAAGTTACCGGGTATTCTAACGTTATTTGCTTATCAATTGGCGTTTATCCAATGCGTTGTTTATTTGTCCCTGTCTTTGGTGAACGTTTAAAGTGTCACAAGCTGGGTTTCTGAATGCAGACAAAAACGTCAGCGGCTGCCACTATATCCCATTTTGTGCTGGATCGTCGCTTTGGGCACCATCCACAAGACAAGCATTGTGCATATCGAAATAACTCGGTACTTCAACATTTGCAATTAAATTGAGTACCCCAATATCTTTTGTAGATTTATCATACCTCTAATTAATATATGACAAGTGCTGCAAGTTTACAAGTAATGCCATACCCTTAACTCCTAATAGCAGTGTTATCTCACCGGCTTTACGGTAATGCTTAATCTAGTGATTGGTTGATGATGAAGACGTCATTCGATATGAGGGGAAGCTTCTCATTAAAGACAGCCTACAAAAAGTCCATGGAGTTTGGTGAAGGTGACGAATATTTAGGGCAGTGCTTGATTACCCTGACAAGGTGTCAATGATAGGCCGTAGAGAAATAGCCGATGTATGGTGGATGCTACATTATTGATCATCCAAGCTCAGATTAACTATCAGACTACTTTATTCTGTATCCGTATTCCAGTCGTGGCTGATCCTGAATGTGTTGGGTCGGCTCTTCATCTCCACCTGGCGTGAAGCTCTAAAACTAGTAGGTGCTGCCCCTCGTTAACCTAACGGAACTTGCCTACCTACCTATGTCACTCTATCGTCTTGCCTTGTCTGTAACGACGACGTTGTTTATAATCAACTAGAACAAACTTGACGGATGCATCAACCACGATATTCTTGATCAGGTCACTTTATTCTTTTCTCCCCTACTACACGACTTTAATCATCGCCAACAACACCAAATAATAGCATCTACACCCAAAATCTTGGCATTGGTCAAAACAACCCCTGTTATCGATACTATAGCGCGCTACCTTGCTGCACATCCAGTATCTGGCCCCTTATCCTCGATTGTTCCCCGCCTCGATTCGGCTGGCATAACGTACGGTTGCTTGGTGCGCTCGGTCCATTGACGAGACGTTGGCCAAAATGTCTGAGACTGGCGATAGGTGAGTTGAGTGATAACTTAATGATACTGTTGTTGCAGCACCAAGTAAAGCATCCCGCATTCATCTTGGCATGTCAGGTTGATTCGCCATTCCTGCTGCACGCACATGCGTCTATGTAGACCCAGCTTGGCCAGTCTCCAGTCCACATCAGACATTGGATGCTTCTCTTTTTATTTAAACTTAGCTTCCCCTCCGATTCTGGGCTGGCCTTGCCCTGGGCTATTTGACCAACACCAACCACCCCAGTATCAAAGTCGTTCCACCTACTGACCGCTGTTTATCTTTTATCTTCAGCATCCACAAGCGGTCCAAATCCGCTGCCGCCCTCTCTCTCCTGCGGCGCAACAATACTCGAGACGAAGAGTCTGGTTCCGAAGACGGAAGGCTTCGGCAAGCTCCTTCATCCTCGAACCCGGCCTTGACCCCGATCAACCCCATGGCGCACCAACAGAGCCCCCGCGGCCACGCCGCCAAACAGTCCGTTTCCTCGGCTGGCCTCTCTCCTACGGTTTCCAACCCATCTCCGTCAAAGCCTCAGCAGGTCCTCACATCACCCACTACCGATAAGAGCACCGCAAGCCTCGAGCAGTCTGTTCGCAAGTTTAGATTTGTCGAGGCCCTACGAAGCGGCGACACATCATCCATCTCCCGCGCCATTCGCGAAACTGCTGAGAATGCCCCCCGCCCGAGCATTTCCTCTGTAAACGGCTCCTCTTCAGGCGCCCTTGACGATACTACAATCCTTCACCTGGCTATCCAGTGTGCTGAATTTCCCGTCATTGAATACGTCTTGTCCGATGGACAGGGATCGATCGATGTCAATGCTCGTGACAAGGATGGAAACACCCCGCTTCACTTGGCCGCAATCCAGGGCAGAACCACAGTTGTGAAGCTTCTCTTGGAACAAAAGGATATCAATGATGCCATCGCCAACGCGCAGGGTAAATTGCCACTGGATGTAGCGCGAAACCCTGAAATCTTCCAGCTTTTGCAGCTCTCAAGATCGCTTTTTGCCGAAGCCAAGGTCAAGCAAGTTCAGGAGCTGATCGCGCGGGGCAATTATGCCGCACTTGCTGGCGTTCTCGAGGAGCACCGCGTCAAGACTGTTCTCGACATCAACAGCCCCGAATTCGCATCCGAGCCTGTCACCGTCCAGACTGGAGGCACTTTGCTCCACGAAGCTGCCCGGAAGAAGAACACCAACCTCATCCAAGTCCTCCTTCTCCATGGCGCCGACCCGTTCCGCCGCGATCGAAAGGGCAAACTACCCCAGTCCGTCACCAGCGACGATGCTACAAAGGGCATTCTCAAGAAATCCCCTGCAGCCGTTGCTGCCCAACGGGGAATCCAGGAGAAGGCAGTGCTTGGACAGGCTGCTTCCCAGGGCACAGCAGGTTCTACCTCCGGCGATCCTCTAGCTGGGCGAGAAGCTCGTGAGATGAAGGGCTATCTCAAGAAATGGACCAACTATAGAAAGGGTTACCAGTTACGTTGGTTCGTACTTGAGGATGGTGTTCTCAGTTATTACAAGCACCAGGACGACGCAGGCTCTGCATGCCGTGGTGCCATCAATATGCGGATTGCCAAACTTCACATGAGCCCTGACGAGAAGACAAAATTTGAAATCCACGGCAAATCTTCTGTCAAGTATACCCTCAAGGCAAATCACGAAGTCGAGGCCAAACGATGGTTCTGGGCCCTGAACAATTCAATTCAGTGGTCCAAGGATCAGGCCAAAGAAGAAGAGAAACGGGCAGCTCGTGGTGCTGAGCTTTTGCGGCAAGCCAAGGCTGACCCGAGCACCCTTTCTCTTCAGGAATCTCATAGCGAGGGTACTAGTGTTACGGACCTGCGCAGAAACAGCTCTCAACTCCCGAGCAGATCGCTTTCAAAGATCTCTTCGGTTGATCAACGACCGAGCCACGCTAGCCCCGGCACTAGTGGCAGTGTTGAAGAAGATGAATTCGTGGATGTCGAGACAGACGCGGGTACCTCGCGAGTATATAAGAATGGAGCACCGACACACAACGACATGGATGATGATGATGACTATGGCGATGACATGAGCCTCCACGAAGAGCCTACCGCCACGAAAGATGCGCTAAATATTACAGCCCAATCGGCCAAGCTTCAGCTCGAAACAATGTCTCATGTTCACCAGGCCCTCCTTAACGAGCTTAACCAAAACCCAAATACACCTCTTTCTGATAACAGCGTATCACAAGCTCTAGGCACCTATGATGGTGCCATTCGAAGTCTATCCACCCTTGTTGCTGATTTACTCCGGATATCAAAGGACCGGGATGCCTACTGGCAGTACCGTCTCGATCGGGAGGCCAATATGCGACGCATGTGGGAGGAGAGTATGGCACAGGTTGCTCGTGAGCAAGAGGTTTTGGAAGCTCGTGTCGGAGAAGCAGAGAAAAGGCGTAAGGCAACAAAGAGGGCGCTGCGTGAGGTTATCGAAAGCGGCATCCCCGTTGGAGCTGAGCTCCCTATCCAGGACACACATGTGGAAAAGGAGTTGGATGACAACAGAGAAAAAGAGGACGAGGAGGGACAGTTCGAAGATGCAGCGACCAAACTATCAGCACCAGCAGCGGCAACGGCACAGCCTAAGTCACCCACAATGAAGACTGTCCGAAGGAAACCCACGATTGTTGTAGACTTGTCTGAGAGCGAATCCGAACAAGAGGACGAGTTCTTTGACGCTGTGGACGCCGGCCAAGTTGAGGTATCAGAACTGCCTGCTGATGAGATTCAGCCCAAAAGCCAGGATATCGTTGTGTCCGGCGGAATGGACATCAGCTCCTCTTTCAAGGGTTACGAAAATGGTGTTCGAACGAGACTCAAAATGGACGCTGATGACCGACCCAAGATTTCTTTATGGGTAAGTGTGCTATACGCAAACAATATCTTCGTTATACTGACTCTTAATAGGGTATTCTCAAGTCTATGATTGGCAAGGATATGACCAAGATGACTCTGCCTGTTTCATTTAACGAGCCGACTTCTCTCCTCTACCGCGCTGGTGAGGATATGGAGTATGCTGACTTGCTCGACCTGGCCGCGGATCGAGCTGACTCGATTGAACGGCTCATCTACGTGGCTGCTTTTGCTGCCAGTGAATACGCATCCACGATTGGCCGTGTAGCTAAACCTTTCAACCCTCTTTTGGGAGAGACGTTCGAATACGTACGACCTGATAAGGGGTACCGCTTCTTCATCGAACAAGTCAGCCACCACCCACCTGTTGGCGCGGCCCATGCAGAGGCACCCAAGTGGTCTTACTGGGGAGAATCAGCCGTCAGGTCCAAGTTCTACGGTAAATCTTTTGACATCAACCCCTTGGGCACGTGGTTCCTCAAGCTTCGTCCTACCGCTGGAGGCAAGGAAGAACTTTACACGTGGAAAAAAGTTACCTCTTCAGTCATCGGTATTATTACCGGAAACCCAACAGTTGACAACTATGGTGTTATGGAGATTAAGAACTGGACGACAGGCGAGGTGGCTCATGTCGAATTTAAGCCACGTGGCTGGAAGGCATCTAGCGCATATCAAGTATCTGGAAAGGTCACTGATGCTTCCGGCAAAGTGCGCGTCAGTCTCGGTGGTCGCTGGAACTCCAAGCTGTACGCTCGCCTAACACCGGGTTACGAGGCAGCAATCGATGAGTCAAAGGAGAGTGGTGCCGATATGGCACACAGCGGTCTCTCCGACCCCAACCGGGCGTATCTCATCTGGAAGGCAAACGAGCGGCCAACTGGAATCCCTTTCAACTTGACACCATTCGTCTTGACATTCAACCATATAGATGACCAGTTGCGGCCTTGGCTTCCTCCTACCGACTCTCGTCTCCGCCCTGACCAGCGTGCAATGGAGGACGGAGAGTATGACTTTGCTGCCGAGGAGAAGAATCGCTTGGAAAACGCACAGCGAGCACGTAGACGACTTCGAGAGGAGCGTGGCGAAGAGTTCGCACCTGCTTGGTTCCAAAAGGCACGCTGTGAGATCACGGGAGAGGAGTACTGGCAATTCACCGGCAAATATTGGCAACAGCGCGAGAAGGCTGGACCACAGGGCGACCCTCAAGCTGCTTGGGAGGGATTGGAGCCCATTTACGAAGACCATGTGGATGAGAATCAGGATACAGTTCAGTATTAGTGCTTTTGAGTAGAAAATTGTTAATAGCCTGTTAAAGCGAACAAGGAGAGTCGGAGTACAAGGTGTGCAGCAATCGGTGGAGGAACGTTGTACAAATGAGAGACAAGAAGCGAGTGTATGTTACAATGAGTTATAGTTGTTGAAATGTCACGTTGGAATGATAACATCGTGTTCGTTATTGGCTTGCCGTTGTAATTCCCGGACCGGAGAATAAAAGTGTTGAACTGCCGGTCACGGGCTGGTTGATAACTCGGCCCCACGATCGGTAGGAGTCCGAACCTCGGCAAAAAACTAATTAGTTCCTTATTTCGTTACAGCTACAGCACCTTGCTAGCCTTAAACTCGTCAGGGGCCGGTTACGTATGAGTCTCGTCTTTCTTATCAATACCTGTAAAAGCCCGGTCTACAATCTTGACTTTGTTCTCTCTACCCATTTAATATCCTGCTTGTCCTTTAGAACATCAACAAAAATTCTCTATTAATAGTATCGGCGCGTTCAATTAACGCGGCGAAGAGTACACAATGACCGTTATTGAAGGAAACGTTAGGCCAACGCTGCTGCGACCGCCAGAGCATGACGAAGATAAGTCTTTGATTGAGAACGTCTTGGACGTTACCGAGCTCAAGGTTCTAGGAACAGTAAGTTGTGCTTTATATTTTCGTTGATATCAGGGCGTATATCGTTGCTACGACACGTACAACATCACCCATGCTCAGTCAATTCATGATAGAGACAGACAATATTAGCAAAGACAAAATTTACTAACTGACCCCAGGATATCTTCACAAACACACATCCTCAATGGCGTCCCCCTGGAGCCCGTGGTATTTATGGCGGCGCCGTCATCGCCCAATGCCTTGCCGCTGCGCAAAAGACAGTTCCAGAGACATTCTTGGTGCACTCCCTCCACTGTTATTTTCTCCTTGCTGGCTCGTCCGAGACCCCAATCCTCTACCACGTTGAGCGGGTACGCGATGGCCGCTCATATGCGACACGCACGGTCCAGGCACGACAGAAGGGCGCATGCATCTTTACCACCACTATCAGCTTTGTGCGCCAGGTTAGTCCAGACAAGAAGCAGCGGGAGGTGAGCCATGCGGCGACCCTTCCAGAGAACGTAACTGCACCCGCGGATGATTGGGACGGCGAGCCAGAGTGGGCAAGGACCGGACCCTTTCAGAGTCACAGAATTGAGGTGCTGGGTTCCAATGACCCTGAAGTAAAGCCACAGGACCGCAAGAGCAGACAGTGGATGCGATCGCGACAAAAGATCTCAGCTGCAGGCGGCCACCAAGCACATCTAAATGCTTTAGCCTACATGTCGGATAGCTACTTTATCGGCACCGTCTCCCGCCTCCATGGCCTATGGCGCTTCCCATTCTCCCCTGAAGAGGTCCCCTCACTAGATGAGAAGACGCAGGAAAAGGTCAAGGAGATGTGCGAGTTTGAAGGCATGGGTTCCAACGTTGAGGACTGGAAGAAGAGAGATCACGTCGGCATGATGGTGAGTCTAGACCACAGCATCTACTTCCACGAGCCGACGGCCGTCAAGGCGGATGAGTGGATGTTTACAGAGACGGAGAGTCCATGGGCAGGAGATGGCAGGGGCGTTGTTACGCAGAAGATCTTTGGCAAGGATGGAGCCTTGCTGGCGACATGTTTCCAAGAGGTGAGTCCTGACTTGTTACCTTGTGATATTATGAGTACACTGACTTTGTGCAGGGCGTTGTTCGACTTAAGAAAGACGGTGGAGAGAAAGCTGCAAAGCTGTAGTTTTTCGTCGTTGGCTATGTGATTGTTCATTTTGTTTGTTTACTGATACCACAATAATACTATTCCCTATTCAACTTCTGCTGGTTTGTTTCGATATCCCGTCTCAACATTATTTATGTTCTGTTCAGTTTTTTAATGGAAAGTTGAACATTTCTCTTTGAGTAGGCTGTTCTTCTCAGGTCATCCACACATGACCCTTGTTTTCCTAGAAGTTATTACATCATTACAAGATTGATGTTGTATAATATAAAGATCGCATTCACTTCGCATTCCTTTCTGCGATGTGAATACACGGTATCGCGCTTAGCGCACAGTCATGCTCACAAGGACAGTTGTACCTCTCTCTCAATAGGTTGGGATTTTGTTTGTCCATTGACGCTAACTTTCTGTTCACCAAGAATAAGTGCAGACCATGTCGTTTGTCTGATTGACCTCAACCCCCAGATTTGGTATAAATTATCCCCTCCATCCTGATCGAAATAAGTTTTCTTTTTCTTCGTATCCTCAACAAACTGAGTTCTTCCATCTCCTACGTTTTCACTCACACAACCCATACCTGTCAGGTAAGTCTATCATCATATCCTATCTACACAACTCTGGTTTTCCCCTTCCTCCTTCCACACACACGCAAATCTCTTTTGAGATACGTATTCAAAATGAGTCAGGAAATCTTCTCCGTCTACGCTCCCTGTGCCCACTGGGTCTACGAGGGAAAGGTCAGGTGCAATGGTGCTGAGTCCTTGGTGAGTGTCGTCAAGGAACTCCTCAAGAAGAAGGGCTGCGAGCCGCAAACGGACTTGCAGATTATTATCGAATGGTGCCCAAAGTGTAAAGCCGGCTTTGCAAAGATCATCCACACACCTGGAACGGTGGTCCCGCTAGCTATCGTAGCCTCTGGGACTCTCGTTCGATGGCTCGATACTGGGCAATCAAGTTTCAAATGCAAATCCTCTGGGCCGTTGACGCCGAGACTGTCGGCTACCAGGCATTTGCTGGTCTCGAAGAGCTAGAGTACGTGCCAGCCGATCGATTCGATGCCGATGGCAAGCGAGAGGACGGCACCTGGGAGCTTCAAGCCCTGAAGAACGAGGTCTATCGTTTGCGCCCTGACTCCGTCTGGATCAAGGACGATTCATGTTCTCGTCAGCTCTCTCATCAGTTGGATTTCTGTCAGCGGGCTCTTGACCCGACAAAGGAAAAGGCGTGTAATCATAGTCAAGCCGAGGAAGTTGCTCTCTTGACTATCTTTTCTTTTGTCGGTTCTGGTTCAGAACATCATTACCAACACTACTAGGTAATCTAGACAGATATACAAAAGACAGAAAAAAAACAGAATAAAATTATCCAAAAATGGAATGAGACTCTTTCCCACTATTTATCACGTTTTGAGGCAAGGTGATGTTTGTTATGTCGTGACATGGATCTTGACCCGAGCTTTACATATATGCATCACAGAATAATTTGCGAATATCTTCATTGTGCCATGTTGATTATCACTCAATTGCGGCTATATCTATCTCCAATGTTGTATACAATAAGCTTTGTTCATAGAAGGGACAAAGTACAGATATTTGACAGCGTCATTACATGATGGATGCTATCCACTTTTAGGCTACAAAAATAAATAGCCTAAGAACCATGGTCTAAGTAGCATAAGCTAGCCCACTAATTTCGTCTCTTATGCTTCTGATGATGCTACTGAAGTCTCCACGCTCCTACCGCTGAAACAGACGGCCAAGAATGTTGTTTCTAGGGGGCGCGAACCAATGAAATTATTTAGCGGCGCGGTCAGTGCCGTCTAACCGTCAAGGCTTGGCTTCTGTGATCCATTAATTAAACCGGCTAGTAGCTCCTAAAAACTTAGTATCGTCTTGTTGGTCGATTCTCCCTTTTCCCTTCTCTAGTTCTAATTTATCTAGTCCTGGCGATCGGACATCGTGGGATTAAGCTTATTCTTGGTTATTTTCCCTCATTCGTTCATTCATTTCGTTGTTATTCGTTTTGTTCTTATTTCCATTCATTCTTTATCAGCCAATAATCTCGGATACGCGTGCTAGAGTTTGATTCATTAATCTTCAGGACGACATAGTATTCGAGTCACCAAGGTTTCAGTTTATCACAGCCCTGTTCGTTGTCAATTGAAACCAGGATCATGCGTACTTTTACTATTCTCGCTTCTCTTACTATAGGAGCTTCTGCTGGCACAGTCTCTGCTCCTTTCGTGAAGCATGGCTTTCACCATGGCGCCTCCATCGACAAGCGCAATACTCTAAATCTAGAGGCTCTGAATAACATCACGGGAGGAGGATACTATGCAGAGTTCCAGATTGGAACGCCACCTCAAAACATCAGCTTCCTTCTTGATACTGGTAGTAGTGATACTTGGGTCAACTCAAACAACACCGATCTCTGCCATAGCCAGGAGGCGCAAAAGAAGAATGGATACTGCATGACTACTTGTAAGCTCTTATCCTTGTTACGAATGAAAAATAGTACTAACAATCCATAGTCAAGCCTCAGAACAGTCGCACATTTAAGGTTGTGGACCGCGATGGCTTTGATATTCGATATCTAGACACTCGTCGAATCGAGGGTGACTATTTTAATGATACTGTTACTATCGACGGCAAGGCCGTCAAGCAGCAGCAGCTGGGTCTTGCGGTCAAGTCTGTTCGCCCAACTGGAATCATGGGCTTGGGCTTTTCTGAAAACGTTGCTACCAACAAGTCTTACCCTGCCATCGTTGACAATATGGTATCTCAGGGTCTCATCGATACAGCTGCATACAGTCTCTGGCTGGTAAGTTAACTCAGAGGACTTGTCCAATCATCTCTAACCAAACATAGAACGACCTAGATTCTGATCAAGGAACCATTCTATTTGGTGGCATCGATACCAAGAAGTTCTATGGCAAACTTGCCACCCTCCCTCTGTTGCCCGAGTCCGCCAAATCCCTGAACGTCACCTCCTTCAGCGTTTCTTTGCAGGGCCTTAATGTCAGAACGCCAAAGAATTCAGATGGCATCAAGATGGATAGCCTCAAGAAGAACACAGTCGCTATTCTCGACTCTGGATCCACCGTCTGTCTCTTGCCCGATCCCCAGGTCAACGAAATCTACAAGGCCTTTGACGTTCTCAGTGTGAGAGATGTCCCCATCCCTTTTGTAGACTGCGGGTATGGAAAAGACAAGGGCGAAGGCATCACCTTTGAGTTCCAGTTCGACAATAAGACGATCTCTATCCCCATGAGCGAGATGGTCGTCAACGCCTTTCCCGATAACCAGGATCTTTTCAAGGATCCCCGCCTCGACTACTACTTCAAGGACTGGGATGGTGTCTGCATGTTTGGCATTTCTCCCGCAAGCACCTACGGTGTCGGTACTTCCAGCTTTGCTATACTTGGCGACACGTTCCTACGCTCCACTTACGTCGTATACGATCTGGCCAACAAGCAAGTGGCTATTGCCGAGGCTGTTCACGGTAATAACGGATCAAGTGTCGTTGAACTAAAGGCAAACTCCAAACTACCAGCCGTCTCTGGAGTTCCAGGTAATTTTTCAACGAATTGTCTTTCTCGCCCTGTTTATTGTGGTCTAACGCTTTCACAGAGCCCGAGAATGCTGCTGGCCATGTTTCCCCTGCTTCATTGGTGGCCCTCATCGTCTCTGCGGGTATTGCATTGACTCTTTTATAAGCATTTCAATAGACTCTGACCAGTATATGCGGATAGAACGCATCAGATATTGGTGCGGATTTGTAGATGCAACGATACGGAAAGGATTTCTGGCATTCATGGTACATGTTGTATATATAGTATTATACCCCTGTACACAAAGCTACTATTCGTCAAATTGCTACGTTACACCAGTATAGATGATCCTTAGACAAGTCTGCCTCTGCGAAAGAGAGCATAATAGGGCCTTTTGGACCACCCCAGTCTATAGTATTACCGACAGGCTATTTCCATTCTTCAATCTATGCCTCGATACGCGACGCACACAAGCTCCCTTAACGCCAAATTCAGCTATATCCCCGAACAGTGCAAATCACACGCCGCGAGTCGAGTTCCAAACTAGCCCAACTTGTTATACCGTTCCCGTGCTTTGTCTTGCACCGTATTCACGTAATCTGCGTAAGTGTTCTTTGTCTTGCGCTCAGCCAGCTGGGCCGCATCACCCAAATTACCACCCTCCGCACCCAGTCCAACCCCTTCTTGGTAAGCGTTTGTCTCGATGACTTCAGTTCGCCCATCTCCATTGGCTCCTAGGCCTGCGCCGGTAGACCAACCCATCTTGGCCAGCATGCCTGCTCCCTTGGACTGGGCAGGCTTCGGAGCCGGCGCCGCATCTTCAGCCTTGGGGGCAGATTTGGGTTTCCCTTGCGGTGCGGTTGTGGGTTTGGTGGGTTGGTTGTAAACAGCTCGCCTCTCCTTGGCACGGTCACGATATTGCGAAGTTGCAGCTGCAGCGTCGATGTTCTCCGGTGCCTGTTTCTGAAGTCTCTTGTCGCGTGCTGCAAGTCTGGGTAATGCAGCTTTGACTTGCTCCTCATTTTCCGTCGCATTCTTGTGGTTTCGTGATTTTTCATGGATGTTAACTTCATCTACAGACTTGTATTTGCGCATGCATATCAGACACATCAGTCGATCGCGGTCAACGTAGGAGACTGGAGGTTCCTCTGAACTCGATGCTGTCTGTGTGGAAGTGCCAGGCGTACCAGCCTCCTCGGGTGAAGCCTGCTTGTCAGGAGCTGCAAGCTCAGGAGTATCAAGCTTCGTTGACCGGGTGATAGAGATCTTAATGGCGCTCTGAGGCTTGGCTGCATCTGCGCCCGAACCCGAGAGATTTATACGCAGTGGAGTTCGGTTCACATCGCTGAACTCGACCTTGCCTGGTCTCGATGGTCTCGCTGGTCTGACCTCCTTCTCCTCGCGAAGCTCATTACTCTTCTGCTGCCACATAGCCATACGGCCTGCCATTACAGGAGCAGACTTCTTTGTGGACGAGGCGGTCAGGTTTGCCTCTGCTTTACGTTTCTTCGACTTCTTGTCGTTCTCCTCCTCTTCGCGTGCCTTGGAGAGCCTGCAGCCCTCTGGGGGCTGCTCGGCGACAATCTGCTGACTGGGATAGACATGGTAATCTCTGTAGCGAACACGAAGGCTCGGGTTGAACAGAGGATTGAACGACGTGTGTTCGATGGCTGGAACAACCTCTCGCTCTTCGGGTAGGAACACACCCATATGAGTGCTTGCTACCGTCACTGGGCAGGCGGCAACAGTGAACGACCTAGACTTCTGGAATTTGGTCATGGCAGCTGTCGCATCTTCCACAGTCCAAAACTCAGCAAACCCGTATTTGAACGATTCATCAGTGCTGGCATCACGCATGAGAAAAACTCGATGCAGGGATCCGGGTCTGGCGCCGTAGCCTGTTGTGTCACCGGTCGGCGCTGTAGACTTCAGTTTTGGTCCCCCATTTGAGGCATCCTTATCTTTCTCCGGCTTCACAAGCTCCAGACGCTTCATATCGTTCGCAAGCATATCCTCCGTCACGAACGATGCAAGGGGATAGACGACAAGGATTTGTGCAGGTACGTCCGAGGCATCTGCCATGCCGGTGAGGCTCAATTGCCATGCTGGAGCTAGCAAGGCAGTGTCAGCGTTCATTGTTGTCAATTGATATGATTTCGACTTACCAGCTTGGGGGCCACCACAAATCTTGCATTTAACACGGGTAGAGAAGTTGGAAAAGTCACACTAGCTTCAATTAGCAATTATGCAACTGACGACGAGAGTTGACCTACAGTGGGACAAGTCCAATCAGCACCTGGGATGCAACGGACATCAGTCGCATCACGCGAATCTCGGCTTCGTGCGTAGTGGATGTACGCATCGAATTTCCCTTCTGGGACATCATCAGTGGAGTGCGTCATCTCGATAAGGAGCTTTGGATAATGCTCTCTCATGAAAGTAACAGCATGATTAACTTCCTGAAACTGCACAAACGCTCTGCGATTTCCTGTTTGGTCATGTTAGCGACTGATTAAGTATTATCGGCTGTCGAGCATATCTTGCTTACCCTTAGAAGCGGAAACGCGCACGTCTATTGACGGGAACTCGGCGGCAACGGTGTTGCTCAGAATACTGTCTCGAAGCTACAGGTCCGTGAATTAGTCTTGCGAACTGATACGTCGACTCATTTCAAAGGATATGTATTTCGTCGCCGGTGCCATTTATAGTAAATAAATAGGGGCGACAAGAGCGGCACATGGATAGGTTTTCCAAAGCGATTGCGTTGCCTTTCACGAAACAAAGTAATTCCAGTGTTTGATTGCTGCGAGAGTTTTTGTTCAGACCAGCAGGGTACCAACCTCATTCGACGATATACTGAACGGCAGGCCTTCGAGAATGACGGTATCGCTGGGCTTGCCTGCCTCTCGTGTCGGACTGTTGGAGCGGCGGTTATTCTGGTAGCTTCCGGATGGAGATCGGGACCGCGGGTCATCGTTGTCGCGATATCTTCCTCTGCTACCTGATTGCTTGTCTTCCTCGTAACGCCGTCTTCCTTGGTCGCTTTCGTCGACATAGCCATCATCGTACATGTCTCGATAGTCATGTTCATCGCGAGTGTTGTAGCGCGCATCTCGAGATGCGCCACCTCGTTTTGAGTATTCATTGTCGTAGTCCTCGTCGTCCCGGTGCTGAGAGTCTCTCCCTCTCGAGTCGTTGCGGAAATCTTGCTTGGGTGGAGACCTGGAATGGTCTCGCCATCCCGTGGGGAAGTTAGCTATGAGGCTCAAATCATCCATGGAGGTCCTTCTCGAGTTCCCCATCTCCGCCTGAGGCGCGGGTTATGTGTTTACCCTGCCGCGATTGGTAGCCGGCATCTCGGTCTTGACATTCGTCGCTTGTGTCCATTGTTTGTTGGTTTGTCCCTTGAGTGATCGTCGCGCACGATGATCTCAACTTTGAGGTTTTCTTTTGGAAACAAAAAGAGAAAGGCTAGCTAATTTCATAAAGCAATAATACATCAATGAGGTGAAAAGATGTTTGCGAATCAAAGTTGAAAAGTCAAGGCTTAGGGAGAAAGTACGTCAGGTGGGGCTTAGTCATTCGCGACGGGATCAGCGCTCATGTGCGACTTTGATAGCAACCAGTAGCATTAATGGATTGATAGAAATAACTTCAAGATACATGTGCATTTATTTTAGTGCAGTGGCTCATATCACCCAGTTTTCGCTTTAAACAATGCTAATTATCGTAGTAGAATTGTACATCCTGACTTCCCAAAGCTACTAGGTAGGTAGGTAGGTAGGTAGGTTAGTGGTTATCATACAAACCAAGCCCACTATTGCTTGATAGGTTGAGAGAGTCAATTCTGAGAGATTAACTCATACTCTCCCTCTCTGCATTAGTATCCTTCACTACTATATTCAAATATATCATTCGAAATGGCGAGTTCACAAAATACTCAAAATGTATGGGAACAAACAGAACAAGACTGCTACGTCGCCTTGACACACGATCACTTAAACGCCCAGGCCATCATGGACCGTGTACGCAGCCCCTCAGCTGGCGCTATTGTTCTCTTTGCAGGCAAGCTCTTGCCCTTGTTCATCTTCCTTCGTTCAACTAGAAGTCTGACCTTGAACAGGAACCACCCGCGATAACTTTGCTGGTAAACCGGTCAAGGAATTGCAATACACAGCATATCACCCTCGTGCTCTCAAGTCCATGATGGCCATTGCGAAAGACGTTCATGACAAGCATGGCCTACGTGGGGTAGCTATGATCCATCGTCTCGGCGCTGTTCCTATCGGCGAGGAGAGCATCCTAATCGCCGTATCGTCTCCTCATCGTCAAGCAGCGTGGCGAGCAGGCGAAGAGGCGTTGGAAGAGTGTAAAAACAAGGTTGAGGTATGGAAACGTGAAGAGTTCGAAGGTGAGGGGGGGGTTTGGAGAGCCAACAGGGATGGAGCTATAGGACAGCACGAAACATGACATTTTTGATCGATCACTCTTAATATTGAAGTTGTAAAATTCATGCGCTGAGACTGTGACTTTGCGTCGTTAACTCTTTTACTCCATGCCGAACTGGCGTGCGCTCAAAACACCACCAAACAACGTTGAAGCCTATACTCCAGGCGCACCGCTATCGCCAAACCCACCCGCTGAAAACCAAAATCATTGCATCGTATCGGATATCCCCACCATTGAATCGAATCGAATTGGATCTTGGCCTTTATGCTTCCATCTTTGGTGTTTCCTCCTGGTAGACCGGTGGTGGTTCTTGCATGAACTCAAAGGGGCAGCGAGGAGGATACTTGGTGCGTGTTCCACCATACATCACTATCACTCGTAAGTATAAACCATACAAACCATTGGGTAGTAATTTGGTGACTTACTAATATGGCCCCGATATGCCTCCGTAAATGTCACTTCGATGCCCAATCCTGGGATATTTATGTCCTCCTGGAATGCAGAAGGATATACGATAATACCGTACTCAGAATGAAGAACTTGCCAAAAGTTCAGAGGAGGTCTACAGTCTTGGTCAGTTTGCCGTTATAAGATACAGCAGAGCATGAAAACATACCGGAATTGTCCATGCCTTACGCATGCATGAATAAACAAACACACATTCTCAAGAACCAGATGACCGGCATTGATGGCGTCGTCAAGTTGATCTTCTGCAAGATCGTGCACGCGCTGTAATCGGGCCTTGGAGAACCCCATGGCTTTGGACCATCCCTTGGCCATCTCTTCAATATCTCTCTCTGGCCGCGTTGCCATTGTCGTTGATTGTTGAAGTCGATGCTCGAGGTAATGTTGGGGAATGGTAATGAATAGTATGAGCAATGTTGGAGTTTGAGTGTACACTATACTCAACTTTGTAATAAATCAACTACCAGAGTGTAGGAACCTGCAGGCAAGGGCTTTGATTAACAAGGATTCTGTCAAGGATTTATATTTGTAGAGTTTTTAGGTTTTTGAGGACCTCTTTGGTATAAGTCTGCCTACTGCTTGCTTCGTTGGTCGCATCGCAACAGAAGCGCGAAGTGAAGCCATCAAGGTGCTCCCTTCAACATACCCCAAGGTCCCCAATTGAGCTATCCCCCAATCACGGCCCTCTAAATATTATCGCGGTTTTATGGCTTCACTCAGCGTGGGGTTCATCATGACTTCTGATCAAGAAGGAGGGGCATTCCCGTGAACCCTTATGGCCACTTTCCCCATCTGTCATGAAAGCCATCATGGATAGATGTCATACTCTCACATGTTTAGTATTCTCCTCCGGTCGCGGAATCAGCTCATCCTTCTCAATAAGAGCAGGTTCAAGCAATAAATTGTTATGGTCGTGAATAGTCATATAAATATTATATAGCTCGGGCTCAATGCCCCGTTCATGCAGCTTAGACACCTAAAACAATGGTGCGGGTATGTATACTAAATCATCAAAAATTCAGATCGCTCATGGTATCTCTTTGCTCCGCTCTGCCTCCATTCGAGTCAACACGACTCATAGGATTACACTCTCCTTCATATTATGTGCACGCCTTTCGTCTTCTACAAGGCGTAGTTTTCGGTGTGCAAGAAGATTTCCTCCAGCTCATCATCGCCCCAGATCTCTGCCTGGAGTCGAGCTACTGTGTTGGCAACACCAACTCTCATAGCTGGCGGGCCACAAACGAACACAGCTGTGCGGCGGCCGAGGATGCCTCGTCCATCAGCACCTCCTGTGGCCCATTCTTTGAGCATATAACCCAGGTCTGGTCGGCCGTACTCAACGCTCCAGCCTCCATCGATTTGATGAGGCACTGGGAATGCAAACCGCATGAGACTCTTTTGAAACTCGGTTGGGGTTTCCGGGAACCCAAAATCGAAGCCAGATGGCGGTCCAAAAGTGGATGTAGGTCGTGGTCTTCCCGCCTCAGGATTGGCCGTCCGAAGGTGTGCAAGCTCTGGAGCTCGTACTGGAAATGCTTCTTCCTCTGTGGGGAATGATTCTGGAAGTCGCTGAGGTGATCGCGGTGCGTAATTGAACTGAGGTGGGTTATCATTCTTCATGGGTCTGAAGTGAAACTCTCCGTCGTTCGCTGTAGGCTCATCGGCATCTTCAATCGGAGGCTTCTTGTCTTCAGGATAGCCGTGCCCTTCGAGCCTTCTAAGAGACTCCTCCCGATTAGTGGGCGGTGGTCCCGGCGGTGGAGGTGGGAATGAGTGAGGCTGGAGATACTTTTGCTGAGGAAGGGCTGTTATGCGGTCCTCGTCCTCAGCACGTAGCTCACGCTCACGCTCCGGGTCGCCCTGGGCCTCGGAATGAATCAGGGCTGAGTTTCTCTTGGAAGCAATGCCCGCGACAAACCCGTCCAGCTTGTCATGGAACATGTGGCTCAGAGCCCTGGGTCCGTGGGGGCCATTGTTCTGATTGAACGGACTTTCACCCTCCATGCCGGGTCGTGCTCTTACGGCCGACGTCACAAAGAACTTGCAAGTGACACTCTCTGGGGGAGCAGCCTCACGACAAATTCTTAATTCCTCCCTGAACCAGTCCATAGCTTCAAGTCGCTTGAGGGCCCAGATCACCACAACCTTTTTGGTGATGGCCTTGCCGTCTCTCATTCTTTTAATAAGGTTGAGAAGCTGTGATACAAGCGCCGTGATACCACTTCCGCCTGCGATAAGAATGCAGGTATCAAAGGCGGCCAGATCGCGGCGCATGCCACCATAAGGGCCATCCAAAAACGCACGATAAGTATGGAAAGGTCCTTTCTCAATGGCAGTGTCTAGCACCTTGCGTGTGAATCCGCCATAAGGTCGGAACACCAACGTGCAGTCACGATATTGCTCACCGTACTCTGAAGGGAAATCGTCGCTGCATAACGACGAGATGGTGAAAGGGTGGTTTTCGAAGATGGAAATTCCAGGCATTCGTAGATAGACGTATTGGCCAGGTTTCCACTTCATCTGTGTTGGAATTGTGACTTTGACCGCGTTCTCGGCCATAAGGGTAATGGCTGCTTCATCACCAACCATGAAAGACATGCGCCAAGGCTTGAGCCAGTTCAATTTGAACAGCCTCAAGAAATAGCAAAATGCCCAGATAGCAATTGTCGTGTATAGATATGCCCAAGACATGAGAAAGTTCTTTGTGTGCCAGAATAAGAGACCGACATAAAGCATTCCAACAGGAATATGAAGAATAACGAAAACCTCATAAGCTGTTCTCCTAATGAAAGGGAGTGAGGCGACACACAACCAGATAAGGGGTACGAGACAAGCTATGCCTGTACCGTAGATAATACCACTGCCACCAGGAAACAAACGTTGGAATACTTCCATTCCACCGTCATCCCAAACAGGCTGGATATAAAAGGGAATGGCGTGAACAAGTGACAAAAACAAACATAGATAGCCTGCCCAACGATGGAAAACGTTGAGTCGCTCGGGACCAATTCCAATAATGGTGGTAAGAATATTCGCTTTCATGCTGGTTGCGATAATCCAAGGCGTCAGGGCGATAGATATCATGCCTGCTCGGATAGCCAGGGGAGGTGAGCCAAACTGGATGCTCTGCCAGTAAAGTGGTTGTTGCAGGAAGCAGTAAAGTACCACAAAGACAAGAGAGATGAAGACAGTGGTGAGGACTGCCAAGGAGGAGAATGTCACTCGGCGTCTTCCCCATACAAAATCAGGGATAGGGCGATAGAATATCCATCGAAACAGAGCCAGAGTATCGTTGATCATGTTGACAGAAGAGAAATGCGCCTTTGGTCGGAAGTGCTTTTCACCCAACACTTCGTTTCCTTCAGGGAAGAAATGCTGACTCTGACCACTTCGCATACCAGACATGGCCTCTGCCTCGGCATTATAGAGATTCTGGTAATGTTCCTCTACCTCCTGCTTATAAATAGCTTGTCGAATTTTGTCCTGCCAGAAGTGCCAAACACGCATGACAAGGATGGTGCCCATCAGGGCGAGCGCAAAATAAGACCATCCTCGACCGTATTTTCCTGACTTCTCCCATGGGTCGAGTGTATGCGCTTGGACTAGGCCTGGTGGACTTGTTGGTGTTAGAGGAATGGAAATTCGCTTGACCAAACCAGAGAAGTTGTTGGCGGCCTCTTCGAGAATGTGACGGATGTTTGAGTTGGGAGCCATTTCGACCAGCGTTGAAACTCCAGCAAGTTCGATAATGAATTGGCGACAAAGCGCGATGAAACACTTTTATTTCGACATCAATGGCAATCTCGTATATCGTGGTGTATGGGTTATTATAAGGCAAAACCAAGAAGGCAAATCGACGACTTGGCTGACTGGTATATGAGAGTCTTGAGGATCGCAATCTAGTGAGATATGCACGGGTGAGCCGGTCAATTGGCGCTCATCGAAAGATACCGGACTCTTGAATAAAACGTGCAGAGGCAAATACAACAAGCAACACAAATGATAAACGAAAGAACTTGAGTTAGGGAGCAGGGTCTTAAGGCGAAAGCTACAGTGGAGTTCAACAGGGCATGCGGCCGAATATATGGCCTCAGACGATCAGATCCTCACGGTGAAGCGGAGAACGGCAGAGCTGCAGAGCTAAGGCTCAGCAGAACACTGCATATGGTGGGTGCCTCTTGTGATACGGCGGCGGCAAGCTTGTCACTCTGGACAGGGGTAGGGAAAATTGGAACTGGGATTCAAGATTGACGTGCTGGAAGAGTGTGCAGCAACATACATGCCTAGTGCTAGTATAAAAGCATCTGATCCTGAATGGTGGCCAAAGAGCTTCAAGGGCCAGCGGCTGACGGAGCTCTGATATTGGCTGGCTGTTGAAATGCCGTCTCCCCACGGTGGGTGGATCATCCGGTTGTCACACAGCCGCGAGCCGGCATCATATTCGAGAGAAACAGACGCAGTCTGCAGGTGGAGTTAATGAGGTGAGTGACATACAGAGGCAGAAAGGGTCGGCTCAGATGGCGGGACCGCGGAAGGTTGATATTTTCTAGGATTAGGAACCATGGTGTAGCTCCAAGACTGCATGTTTAGGCCAGGGATCATCAGCGATGGTTGGGGTTTTGTTTCTTGGTTCTTTTTGTATAGGTAACATGATAGCTGATCTGCTGTTAGCATAAACTTTGGCCGTTTCTTTTCCTTCTTCATCAAATATAATCGCGTGCGAACGCTAAAGAAGTATCTTCATCGTAGCTAGCGCTTTATGTACGAGATGAGAAATTAAATCTGTGATGATATAGGCTGCTGGTGTCAAAGTTCTTAACGGCCGTTGGCTCATTCCTAATCATGGAAAAGATGAGCGTCTGAGCATGGCTCAGGATTGGGCGCTCTAAAAACCCGATCGGTCGAGGCAAAACTGTTCCTGGCACTTGGACCGTGATCCAGATACTGCTCTATCCCCTTCCAAGCAACAGGTAATCATTCTCAGACTGTTGGCTGCAGTAATAGGTAATGTTTGGGGGGGCCGGATGGCGGAAGAGCAAGAGAAGCAGCCATAGTGGAGCATTTAAGATGTAACGCTGCTTCTGTGATGGTGATGAGTTGCGATAGGCTGCTCTGATTGGACTAGTGACGCCGTGACTATTCAGGCGGGTTGTCAACGGGCGGTAACACATCAAATATGATTCGCTGTTGATATTGTATAGTTTTCTGGGGGTTTTAAGCGCATGCGTCCTTTGATTCGTGCTCGTCTACTAGAGAAGCTTTTGACCTCATTCAAAGATCTCCTTTCTCTTCTCGGGCATTAGAAGCCCAAAAAGGTCAAGCATCATCCGAGCGCGAGGATTGGGTCAGGGTCGATTTTTTGATATCAAAATGGTATCCATACCCCATCGTTCGATGGCAAACAATACCATGATGGTTATCAGGCTTGGTTGTTGGTGATGAACTGGCTCTCATGCACAGTCACTGCGGACCGCAGCGGCATTAAACAAACGAACCATGAGGCGAGAGGACCAACAGACGATCCAGGCTTCCCTGTAGACTGTTGGTCGCTTTCTTTACCACGCCTCCAACATGCCGAACGATGTAGGTGACAATAAATTCTTGTTGGTGATGAGTTCGCTACTTCTTGAGGCCGTCGATCTTGTTCCTTAACAACATTACTGGCCGTGCTTTAAGTACCAGGTAGGTAATAGAATGACAGAAAGGGAAGCTCATAATGAGCAAGGGATAAGAGTTGGTCTTTTTCTTTCTTTCTGATTCTGTGAATTATATACGTGGGAAAGAACTGGCGTGATAATCAACTATCTATCTACCGAGGTGGTGGTTACAACTTAACTGTAGGTATAAATCGAGCAATTGCATTTGTAGGTGGTTTCACAGGTACAAGTCGCAGAAATCCAGCACCAGATACATACAAAACCAAATACATAAAATGAACCATAAAAATGATACACTACTTTCCATCTTACTAGCCTATCGCAAATATAAAAATCTGTTTCTGAATCAATCATTTTCAAGCTAATCTGTTTACCCTATACCCGTGAACGAAGCTTCTCAGCCTCGCAATCCACTGACTTCTAACTGGTTATACAAGATCTATGCCCCACATCCGACCCCACGAGGCTGCGACCATACCTACAACTTTTCATCATTGACATTAAAAGTCGAGTCTACCCAACAATCTCGACCACCACAATCAGCTTTAATCTTCTACAGGCCATCGAGAAGGAGATCCTGCTGCTAAAAAATGGCGTCAACCACAGGACTCACTCGGTCTACTTTTGCCAAACTTTCTCCTCATCCGTATCTACTCGCCAACCTCAAGCCCTCCTCCAACGATGTACGCCCGGCTCGAAGCAACGGACGAGCCTCAGACGAGGCCCGCGTCCCAACAGTAAACGTATCAAGCTTGTCCCATGCAAATGGTAGCGCCGTGGTGCGTGTGGGCGACACCACTGTTATTTGCGGTGTCCGAGCCGAGACTATTTTGACCCAAAACATTCCAAGCTACCGCGCTGCCAATATCGAAACCGAGCTGAAAGAGTACGACCTGCTTGTTCCCAACATTGAACTCGCTACAGGATGCGCCCCCCAATTCCTCCCCGGTGGTCCTCCAAGCACTCTTGCTCAAACTCTCAGCACACGAATATACTCTCTCCTCCACAGCTCTAAGATTATCAAGCCTGAAGACCTACGAATATGGCATGCAGCAGCGTCGGAAGACCTCGAAGCCGACGACGATCGCATGGAAGAGGATGACGACGAGGCACCTAATGAGAATCGATCTGTTGTGGCCTACTGGGTGCTTTACATCGACATCTTCTTTATTTCCTTTGACGGAAACCCATTTGACGCTGCTTGGGCTGCTACTATGGCCGCACTACGAGATACAAAGCTCCCTGGAGCTCGTTTCGATGTGGATCGAGAGATGATCGTCTGTTCCCGCAAGGAATCAAGGCTTCTTAGCATCACCAGCACCCCGATCGCCTGCACAGCAGTCGTCTTCACTGGCAAAGAAACCGACCGGCCCACTGACGGCGAGTTCTGGATGCTCGTTGATCCTGATAGACTTGAAGAGTCACTCTGCGACGAGAGTGTGACGATTGTGGTGGATTGCAAGGACGGAAAGGTCAACATCTTGTCTATTTCGAAGCACGGAGGAATTGCCTTGACTCCTCAGTTCCTCACATCAGAACAATTCCTGGGCTGGGCGACGAAGCGATGGGAACAGTTCAATGCGGCCATCACTCAGTCGTAGATTTATGATACCCCAATAGAGATAATACAAAACTGAACATGATTGTGTCCTTAACTACAATGTCATGGTTATCATGAACTACGTTGGAGAAGAAATGTGTCTATACCATTCGACCCACCCTGTCAGACTTTATTCTAGGGCAGGAGATACCGGAAGACAAATTGCTCTACCACTCATAAAGTGAATAGTAATGAAACTACCACGCCACAAGCAATGTTCCGCCAGAAGAGGTAGACATTGCATAGAGGGCTGAGCGGATGTTGAGGAAAAAAGAAGAAGAGAAGAGGAAAGGAAAATGTTGGCCAATCCTTTTTCATCACTCCCAGCCTCTGCGCACGGGCCACTTTGCTCTTATTTACATGGGTCCAGCTGGCTTAGCAACCCTGCCCCACCTGGAATATTCTTCATCTTCGCGCATCATAAAAAGACAGATCAACTCTCACACTTTTCTCTCCTCTCCTCTCCAACAATCTCAACCTCAACCATGGAATCCCTCTCAGACACCCTGTGGGATGTAGTGATCAGCGGCACTGGGCTACAACAGTCCCTCCTAGCCCTGTAAGCTTTGGATTCCATCGTCGAGATGTGCCCCGGTCGGACTGACCCAGCCTTCTTTGTTGAAGAGCTCTGTCGCGTTCAGGCAAAAACATACTTCACGTCGATCCCAACCCATTCTACGGGGGTAGCGAAGCCGCTTTCAGCCTCCAAGAGGCAGACGAGTGGGCTGAGAAGAACCGATCCGCCGACGCTTCCCGGTTATTTTCTGCTGCGGAAGCAAAGCGTGATGACACCTTGAGTTCAGCACGTGCCTACAGTTTGGCTCTCGCGCCCCAGTTGATACATTCACGGTCGAAGCTTGTCACTCAGCTCGTTGATTCGAAAGCATTTCGCCAGATCGAGTTCCTCGCTGTCGGCTCTTTCTACATCTACCAGCCCCCTTCGGATTCTTCGTCGCTACCTTCCCTCAGCCGGATACCGTCGACTCGCGAAGATGTCTTTTCCAACAAGTCCATACCGGCTCGGTCCAAGCGGTCCTTGATGAAGTTCCTCAAGTTTGTGCTTGATTTCAATTCGGAACCTCAAATTGAGACGTGGAAGCCGCATGCCGATGAGGAGCTCACGCAGTTTCTGGCATCCGAGTTCAAACTTGATGCGGCTCTCCAGTCCTATGTTATCACACTGACTTTGAGCCATGATGGCAAGATATCAGTCAAGGATGGCCTGACTGCGATTAGCAGACACCTGACTTCCATGGGAGTTTTTGGTACTGGCTTTGCTGCAGTCTATCCCAAATGGGGTGGATTGTCAGAGGTCGCTCAAGTGGGCTGCCGAGCAGCAGCTGTTGGCGGCGCAACTTATATGCTGGGTTCCGGCATTAAGAATTTGCAGCGCCCTAGCTCTGCTGAAGCCGAGGCTCCCCTTGAACTTTCGTTTACGAACGACATCGATGTCAAAGCCAAATTGGTGGTTCAAGGCACTGATAAGGTTGACCCCAACAGCCCTCGAATCAGCAGGCTTACGGCGGTGGCAAAGGCGGACTTGTCTTCGCTCTTTGAACTCCTTACTGAGGGCGCTCCCGTGCCTGCTGTTGCCGTAGTGGCCTTACCAACGGGCTCAGTCTCTGAGGGTGAGAATCCTTCAGAGTTTCCCGTCTACGCGATGGTACACTCAAGCGACACTGGGGAGTGCCCTTCTGGACAATGTGAGTAACAACAGCATTTTTTCCCTATCCCTTTGGTGTTATGATGATTCACATACCGAATACTTATCTACATTGTCTGAATCCCAATGACGATCAAATCTCTGACAAACTGATACACACCTTCCTCCTTTCGTTATTGTTCTTTTCATATTTTTTCAAGAACAGTGTGCTAACGAAGGAATAACAGATGCTATATATCTCAGCACCGTTTGTACACCATCTGCGAAATCATTTCTGGATAAGGCTCTTTCGTCTCTTTTGTCTGCCGTGTCGAATGGCCAGGAAGTACTTCCACTGCTTTATAAGCTGTACTATGAACAGGGCGACGGAATAAACGCTCTGAGTATTGATGGAAACATTGCTACATTCTCATCCTATTCGCAAAGCCTCGCGTTCGATGACTCTATCCTTGACTCTGTCCATGAGGCTTGGAAGTTTGTCAATGCTGGCTTGGAAGACGATCTTGAGTACATGAAGTTTGAAGATCGAGAGGCTGCCTCAGATGATGAGTTTTATGATTAGATGAACACGAACTATAATAAAGCACCCATTAATTTTGATCTTTTGTTTATTCGCTATGCGATTGTAACGGCGCCATGCCTGCCTCCAAGGAAATTGCCCATGCACCATAAATGCTTGTTGATGCTCTTTATTTTGCTTCCCGAAATCGTCGTACGCGCCTGTGCACCCATACCTGTTTCTCACGTCTTTTTGGTTTGTCCCATTGCCCATATTGCTTCTGACCAAACTTCCCCGAACTCCCAAGAATTAGTAATTCCGTTTCCCCGTCAAAATAAACCCAGGTGATGCCGCTAAATCCGCAATGTCATGAGCCGTTCTTTTCGTAAGTCTTCCTGTGGTACAGACCGAGTATATGAGAAGATGTACCTGTCAGATCCCGCAATTTATGAAAACAAGTCTAGGCCAGCTTGTCGGCCATGTCGTCGGCGTCTTGCTCGACAACAGTGAGTCCTATGCGGATAGTACCAAAAGGCTGGTTGTTCGCGATGCCTTCTTGCTCCACGGCGATAGCGGTCTTGGTGGCAAGAACGAGAACATGCATAAACGCCTCTGAAACAAACTTCTTTGTGCTGGCTGGATCATCGAGCTCCTCGGTGAGTACATGGAAGTCAATCCAGCGACGGTCAGTCCGATCACGGGGACGAGTATAGCCCTTTTCCTGTGCACGAGTAGTGGCGTAACCCAAAAAATCAAGAGCAGAAGAATCGATAACGCCGGAGTCCTGTGTTTCTTTCCCATTGGTAAAGTCAAAGTCGCCCATAAACCCTTCATCACCTACAGAGGAGTCTTGTGAGTACAATATTGCCACATCGTCAGAATTTTGAGGCAAGTCAGGAAGATCGCTGAAGCGCTCAATAGAGCGAACCACACTGCCGCGGCCATGTAGGGGACTCGGCGCGGGAAGCCTTTTCTGCACACGTCCCTGTCCTCGACGTGATGAGCCAGGTGCGATAGAGGGAGGACAGCTCCATGGAGCCATGGAAGATGAGTGGCGGTCTTCAAGACCATTCGCTGCATCCAATCCCATCTCGGGGGCGAGATCTTCGCCGAACATGACTGCAACCGTGTCATTGTCATACCCACGTCCCAATTCGCCGACACCATTCCTATGTCCAGTTCTCTGACGGATATTTCGTTCTTCATCTTGCTCATCTGGAAAAGCTTCAGCCGATGTACGACGGCGACCTCGAGGCTGAAGCTCTGGCTCTGGTTCGGGATCTCGTCCCTGAAACTGCGCCATCAGGGCCATCCCAGAAAACTTTTCAGCAAGAAGGTGAGCCCTCCCTAATGGAGTTCTGGCGACGTAAGCAAGCCCATTGCCAAAAATGAAGGCCTTGGCATTGCGGCGGGCTTGGGTTGTCGTAGTTGCTGGGCGTAACTTGAGAAGAGCTTTCATGCTATCGGGGTAGGCCGAATACCATCCTCGAATCGTAGCTGAAGGGATGTAATCCTTCTTGTCAATCATTTGGTGCTTCCGTCGTGGCCTTCCCCGTTGTAAAGGGGCCTTGACTTCTAGAGTCTCGGTTGTTGATGTAGTGGTTGGTTCGGCGTTAGAGGGAGGCTGCTTAGCAGTTGGTCGCTTGAGAAATGGCTCAGCGTCAGGCAGAGGATCCTCGCCCATGATGATCACGTTGCCACCTGTGTTGCGCTCTTTGTTGGTGTCGGCGTTGGCTGCCTGGATGTGGAGTTGTTCTTCGTATGCTGCGGTTCCAGGAAGAGTAGGAAGCTCTGGCTCGAGATCACCAATATCAATGAGGTTTCCGTCAATATCCAAGTTGAGATCAAGATCGGGAATATTTGCTATGTCTTCGCCGAAAGGGTTGAATTCTTCGAATGGATCTTGCGCATGAAATGGCTTTGGTAAATCAAGGTCGAGGTCAGTTGGAAGACGATAGCTCCGACCAGATTGAGAAGACTGTGGGAAGCCGAAGTTCAAGAGTGAGTTACCTCGGCCAGAAGAACTTGTGCCCTGGGTCATTGGGGTCATTTGAGAGACGTTGTTCTGCGTCGACAATTGAGTTGAAAGGAAAACCAAATCATCGACACTGGCCAGAAGATCTAGTTTCGGGACAGTGGACAAAGGATCAAAGGATGGGTCATCTTGGAGGGTGATTTGGTGTCGCCTCGAAGGAGTAAAAGGTCAGTTACAAAGAGTTTTGAGAACAACAAAGAATTGCTTACTTTGACTTGCCCACGTTTGGGTCTGTTTCGTTTGTGTTCATGGCCCGAAAGAATGTTATCATGTGTGATTGTGTCTTTTCAGCATCTGAAAGAACATAATGGCACTGCTGAGAATAGACTCGAGAAACTCCGTAAAGGAGATTTCCCTGAAGACGCAAGGCCAAGGGGGCCCCCGGGTCAATGATAGTCTCGCATGCCTTTGGAACGTCAACGCCTTGAATTGCTTTGCGAGTCAGACGTTTCTGGCTACTATTGCCCACGGTAGCGACGAGCCTATTTGGATATGTAAGTGAGGGTGTTGGAAACAGTACAAGTACCTCAAGAAATACCAGATAGTAGCAACCCCATACTGGGTGTTGCTGAGAACTAATGTATATGTTAGTCTGTTGAAGTAGAAGCGTTGCATGATGGCCTCACTTACTCTCGTGACTATAAAACATGGTGCTCTCTCATGCGCATCTGAAGACTCGAAAACACCTAGAGAATTCGATCAAGGCGGACAGGAAGCAGCTTCTTTTGAATCGGAGTGTGTAGTCTCTGCCTACCCCTGATGTTGGAGGCCCGGGTTAAAGTTGTTGGTGATACTGGAGGAGGTGAGGCCGAATTACTTAGGAGGAGTTGATGCAAGGATGCGAAGAAAGTAAGAGTGACGAGAATGCGTCACGCGCAGTCGAAATTAAGAGAGCCTCTCGCGGGAGCAGTTTCAACGCCTGGCAGTCACTGTCAAGCAGCTGGCACCTCAGGCAGCAGCAAATGGCAGCCCGCAACTTGGCGTTTGCACTTGAATTCCTATTGTCCACAAAATTTGTGATGTTCATTGAGCCATTGTCTTTATGCATCTGAAGATAGTGCAAACCATTCTTCTATCATATGATTTATTGTCTATTGATAAGCTCTTCTGTCTTCAATGGCCTTCTTTTTTAGTTTCCCACATACACTCCTCGGTTTCTCCATCGATATTATATAGATCAAGCGAGTAGCGTCAGAGTATTCGCTCGATTTTTCGGATGTACTCACATCAGATTGCAAGTTAGATTTGAGTCGGATCTTCAGGACCATCACTTTTGGTCTGCTCTCAATACGATGATATGGTACCTTTTACAGTGTACGTCAACCTCACACGACGATTCCGTTTCGGAAAGCCAACCCTCTATTGTTCCCTATTTTGGAGAAGGTATATATGGCCCTCTCCCTGTTTGCTGACAGAGTCTGCAATGCGCACGACGAAAGACTACAGCCATTATTTCAGGAAATGAAGATACCGATGCACTGAATTCGGGATATTATAACAAATTCTCAACAAACCAGCATCAAATATCAGGAAAAAAACATGGTACTGTGGTCTAGTTGGTTATGACATCTCGTTAACACCGAGAAGGTCCCCGGTTCGAGCCCGGGCAGAACCTCACTTTTTGACCCACCTCCTTCGAAGTAGAAGTATCGTAGGTGACGTTCTTTTGCTCTGTCGAGCTACGTGAGTAGACAAGGGGGTGAAGAAGTGGGAAGCGTTCAATGTGGATGAAGGGAACGGTTGAGATGATACTATTGGACTTTAGGCGTGGTTTCCTGACCATAGGGAAACTCTGATTATCTTTGGCGACTAGACGTCTGGTAATCCTGGCTGGATAAACGCATGCCGTGTATTCTGCCTGAGATTTATCGAGGACTGGCTCCTCACGGGTTCTTTCCAGTTACTTGTGAGTGGTTCGAAGCCCGGTTCCGCTAGCGATGCAAGCGGCGCAGAATCCTATAACAGCAACGGCGGTTGAGACACCAAAGGCATATCTGATCCCATCATAATAGGCTAAACGAACCTTGAGTTGCAGGTCTAAGGGGAGCTCGTGAATGTAATCGACCGAGTGTCGGATTTGCTCAATGATCTAGCGGTGCTATCAATAAGTGTTCCGAGGACATTTTAAGATTTTGGATAAGATTTAATAAGACTTACACTCCATTTATCTGGCACGCCGACCAATGCTTCCGGTAAGCGGGCGCTGAGAGTGGTTTGCACAATGGCAGAAGTAGTCGAAACGCCCCAAACCGTTCCCATCGAACGGACAAGATACACTGTCGAGGCGGTAACTGCATGATCTAGATATATGTCAGTCAAATGTTGATAGGTGGAAATATGGGAGCTCACCGGAATGCGGGAATGAAGCGAGTGAAGTAAAGAGAATTCCGGGATAAATAATGCCCTGGCCAAGGTTCGCCGGAAAGACATAAACAAAGTACTTCCACTTCGAGTCATGGAACCGTAACGAAGCTACTAAGCCATTCCCTAATACCATCAGGAAAGCTCCAATGCGCACAAGAGTGAGTAATTTGCCCCAGCGAGACATTACGACACCGGCAATAACACCACCGATTGGGGTTGCCAGAGATGGAATTGCAAGCCGGGCCCCGGCGGTGGTAGCCGAGTCAAGAAGAACAACTTGGAAGAAAAGCGGGAGCATGAACAGGTACTGCGCAAAGTCAGTAAAGCGAGTATAAAGAGGTCCTTTCATGGTTAACTTACTCCATAAGCGGCCATACCTGCGCAGACATTTGCAAACTGCGTCGAAATAGGGAGCCTTCCTTGTAACAAACGAAGAGGAATTACTGGAATAGCGCTTGTCTTGGCCTCGACGAGAAAAAACAACGCGAACAAAGCGATACTGCCGACCAAACATCCAATGACCCAAGGACTGCTCCAAGGTAGCTCATTGCCTCCAAGGCTTAGTCCCAAGAGTTGAATAGAGACTGCCATGACCATGAGTAGAGACCCGGTAAAGTCAACCCTCTTCCAAACGGCACCCAGGTTGTTCTCGGATTCGGAACATGTGGTTTGATTAGAAACAACTAAAGCGCCAATGATCAAGGCTGCAATCGAGACCGGGACTTGAAGCAGGAAACACCATCGCCATCCAATATGATCTGCAATCGAGCCTCCAAAGTAGGCTCCAGATATGGCTCCAAACCCATAGATACCGTTCTGAAGAGCTTGGTACATTCCACGTTTACGAAACGGAATCATGTCTGAGTTGACAATGGTAGCTTCAAACTGTAGTTAGTGAAATGGTTCCAGAATAGTTAGGGTTACACTCACCCATTGTCATCAGGCCTCCTCCACCGAAGCCAGTCAACGCCCTCATGACGTTGAGAAAGACCACATTGCTCGCAAGACCGCATCCAAGACACCCAAGAGCAAAGGTGACAGTTGAGATAAAGAAGCACAAACGTCGACCAAAAATATCAGACACTCTTCCATAGAGCGGCTGAAAGGCCGTGCTTGTGATAAGATATGAAGTAGTCAACCATGAAGCAGTGTTGGCCGCATCAAACTCAGAGCTGATGACAGCATACGTAGCAGCAGTGATTGTACTGTCAAGCCCGTAGAGAAAGACGTTAGACATGATAGCTAGCTGAATCCATGTGAACCCCCGCGGGGGTTTCCAGGTGTCCTCATCGGGTGCGTGGAGTAGGGGCTGGTCTTCACGATGTTGAACGACATCTTCGGCGTCATTCCTCTGTGACTCAGGTACTAGTACTCCAGGTTCTTCAGAGATAGATAAATCATCTCGCATGGTTATTTGATAAGAGTGAACTCGAAATTCCAGCTTTTAGAATACAGTGTAGTGTTTCGGTGTTTACAATCTTATATTAGATTCTTCTTTTGTGATAAGAAAGATCGAGCTCTCAATAGGGCATGGGTTCGGAAAAAAATTAACCAGCTGCAACATTGGTGTCCCTACGTCAAGTTGATAATGGCGAGATACTCTTAGGTATCACGCCTTCAACTACCCGATAAGATAATAGGTCTTTTTGAGCTTGGTAACACAGAAAAGATATTGATGTTAATCGAGGGAGGTTGAGTCGTAGAAAAGAAAAAGACAAAAAAAAAACATAGCAATTCCTTTGGCTTTGTTATTTACTGTAAGTCTTTTGGGTTAATTGTAGGAAGTAAGGATGGGGATAGTGACAATCTCAGATTGTCCCCTGCATGCTTCCGCCTAGGTCACAGTGCGGTACCATAGTTACTAGCTCAAAGGCCTCGACTTTTCTCTTATTATGGGATGGTGCTTTCCTGGGTTTAGATAACTGCGAGATGGTAGCTCATCTGACATTTTAAGAGTTTAGAAGATTTGAGATGGTTGCTATCCTTAGGGGGCTGACCCGCCTATTGGATGGTGCAACTGAGACCAACATCCATCCTATTGACATAGCATCTGCTGGCTTAGGACCGGGGTCATCCTTTCGATAAGAATATTCCAAGACAATGTACATTTCTCGTTTTAACCTGGTTCAACGAGATGTGATGTTAGATCTATCCTTGTTACAGACCTTCTGCCGTAGAAACATTCAATAGAATATTACTAGTAGATAGATACCTACCTACCTAGGTACATAAGAGGTAGAAATTTCCAATACTTGAACAGTTGCCTTATACGTACCTATTCCAGTGGTACAGGAAATATACCGTTTTACTAACTTGCCCGTAAAAAGAAATAGGCGAAGCTCTACTAATGCACAAAGGTCTCACTTTCTTTTGTCATAGGAAAGAAGGTACCTAAAATACATGTGATATACAAGAAAGGAAGGAGCCCCGACCTGGACTGACGTGAAGTCGGCGTTAGGCAGGCACACATCATACAACTCCACTGAATTGCCTGGGCACCATCGTCATCATCAGAGATACATATCACTACCTTAGTACCCACGCAGGAAGAAATGCAAGGAAATACCAAGCGGCTTAATATTGACACTTCATAAGGACCATCATCATGAAACAGCACAGCGCTTCGATACGAGATTTTCCGGACTCCCTCTCGTGAAAACCAAACAACACCACTTGGCTTGTCGGTTTCAAGGGTCCAACCACCCAAAATGCAGTAGCCTTATATTCCTACACACGCTTCCTATATTGGGTAGCTGTCGATGCACGTCAGCAGAACGTTCTCACCGCCCTCTACCGCTATCAGAGTACAGCATGCGGATTACGCCCAGCTTGAGCAAGACACCCATCTTGCGACCCCCAATGGCCATCTCGGTGCGAACCGTGCCGCTTCCCCTGAGATAGAACTGAGTCGCCTAAATTCAACCGACAAGTCTCGAAGCTCGGAGAAATGAGCTCGGGTCGGCTGGTGGCTTGCGATAGACTCCCCTTTCACAAGAGAAAGCGGGGAATATTCAATAGTGCCTCACAAGTCCTGGTGCAAAAGATATCTCACAATGGCGTTTAGAGGGGTGCTTGATGTCCCACAACCTGTTCCTGCATCTATAATATGCCAAACAAAAGTCATAAGTTTAAGGTTCCAGTCGTCTGGTGATCATACAAGCCACTCCGCTTCTGATTGATCATTCTCTACACCAAGGCATTGATTTTGGAGCCTATCTGTCGAATGAGTTGGTGCGAAGTCGTGCGGGCGGCAGCACACCAACTCCCCAAGTCCTCTAGTGCGCTCAAGACATCGACTCAAGACATCAACACTTGTGGGGACTAGCGCACAAGTTCCAAAGTGATGGTGTTGTCGTTGCTCGCTGCACAAGGTTGAATGCTGTTGGGAGTCACATAGCGCAATTTCAGAATCCCAAAAGAATAGCCAGGTCTAGTATCATAGGCTGGCCCGACCGTGCGGCTCGCAGACCGGTTAGGGAGATCGGCAACTTGAAGGACATATCGTGACAGCTGTGTCTATTCTTGCAACAGGACGAGACGGAGAACAAACCTGGCTATAAAAACGTAAGCTCAACGTCGAATGCATCATCATCAAGCTCCACCAAGGTACAAATAGCCCAACCACGTTGTCTTTGACAAAACCGGATTGAGAACCGTAAACATTGTCGACGTGAAACATTGGCTTCCGTCAGTTACGCTGTTTCTGCGGGTTTTGCCATGGAAGTTCAAAGCCAAGAAGATTGCAGCAGTCCTGTTGATTGGCCATCTGAACTTCTATCTGAGTCCCTCCCTGCGAACACAGCCCGATAATCCACAGCATTGACAACCCCGCCATTCATAGTGGGTAAAAAGCTCCCCCGAGGCCTCGCCGGTCCAAGGCCCGGCAAACAGTCCGCATACCCCGCTATCGCCGTATCGAAGCATCTGTAGAAGCTCATTATTCCTACTAAGGAAAACGCCCGAACGTCTTCAGGGGAGCTCGCTGATGGTTGTACCTAAATAGGGATGTCACAGTGCATCCTCTTGATGCTTTCGTGCACCCTGCCTCTGCACATCTGTTGGAGTTGTGGCAATCAAAGAAAATGTATGGATATATGCAAGAGTTGAGTTTGTGTCACAAACACAAACAAGCAGCCATCAACAAACCTGCTCGATTATGCCGAGCAAGCAACAGAGTTCTGCTTCTATCTTGCCTTGAACAGAACGCGTCATGGTGCTGCTCAAGGTCCTCCACAGCATCATCGTCGCTGTCTTTTCTCACGTGTCCCCGCATCTCAGTCCCCCTTGCAACCTCCACGCCCTGGATTTCCACGCCACGATGCGATACGGCTGGCGGCCTAGACCTTGGCTCGGGTTGAACCTGGTACCTCCCCGAAGTGCTCCGGTTGCCAATAGCTTTCGTGTATTCTGTACTCGCTCTTGCGCCTATTTACCTCGCTCGCTTGCTTCCTTTCCACACACCTTTCTGCTACATCCTTGGAATCTCCATGCATGTTTATCCGTGGTTGTGCATTAAACTCTTGGGCATACTGACCATCCCTGTTCACCTAGCTTGGCCTCAGCCCAGGACAAGACAAAAAGGCCATTGTTCTGATTCAATCCTACACACTCCAACAAGTCTCACTTGTCTTGCCCTCTGACCTTTCACAAATCTCTGAAGCGTCCCAGCCTCTTGCTCTGTGATTCAGCTGCTGTACTGTCTCGTCTCATCTCGCTACTTAACTTCAGCCTCCCCGACAATCTCGAGACTAATGCTCAAGTTGTCTTGTGCTGCCCCTCTTCCACTCTGCTCTCAACTGTGTTTCCACTACAAACTGCCATCATGACGGGCGCTGTCGCTACCCCTCGGTACAGCAACGACGACTTCGAGACAGCTTCGGTTCGTTCAGCTGCTCCATCTTATGGTAAGTCGACCAAAACGGCTTCGATCGTAAGCACTTTGCAAGGCCGTCAGCTCTACTTATATCGTGAAGCTGGACGCCGCCAGCAAAAGCTCTGCAATCTGGCACGAGATCAGTCTTGCTGACCTGTTTACCGCTCCAGTCTCAGAAGCTCCCTCTTACCACTCAACAAACCCGTTTCCCGAGACCTTGCCTTCATACACCCCTCCAGCTCGAAACCATGCGGTTGTGAGAAGCTCCATGATTCCTTCCAGCAGCGGCACATCCACTCCCACTGCGCGCCAACAGACTATCGGCCTGCCTCCAGTGCCCGCGGCCCCTTTGCGATCCCAGCCGAATTTGAACAACTTTCGTATTGCGACGTGGTCATCTGTATCCAGCAATCCCGCCGCCCGACACTACCAGAACGTTGCCAACCGAAGATTGACAGCACAGCGTGATCCCGTAGACAGCCTTCGTCGCGTTATGACTGATATCAGCGAACAAGAACAAGAGAGATACACATCCAGGCCTTTGGAGGACCCCTACTTGGTTGGTGAGGTGGCTGCTTCTCGGGCTCGTCGAGAACGAGTTGCACGGGAGACAGGGGATGATATTTTGATCCGGGAAGACCGCCAATGGGACTGGTTCCTGGGTAAGTTTGAGAAGCCATAATGAGATTGTATGGTGCAGTCGCTAATGACCGGGTAGCTCGGATGAAGGACTCGGATGAGCGGCAGAGGAGCTGGACTTCTTACCGTCGAGAACAGGATGCCGGGAGCCGTAAGAAGCTGTTCCGTCGTATGGGAGGAAGGCGTTTGCTATGATTCTGCTCTATGGATTCTTTCATTTCCTTTGTCGTCATTTTCTCTCTTCCGACTGTGCTGGGTCGCTGCTGCCGTGTCAGGGCTGGTTCTTGCTGAAGCATATTGTCGCATTGTCTCCAAGGCGTTATGATCTAGATTGGGTTACTGATGAGGCATGGCATATGACGGGTTCGCGGATTTTTCCATATGCAAACTGACTGACGGCATGAGACGGCTATCATGAGTCAAAGTATTCTTCTCTGTCACTCGCTTTCAATCGTAAGGTCGCATAGTGCTGGATAAGCCGCATCAGGTAGCTCACACATCGCATGAAATTCAACAACCATTTCAGTATCGCTGAAAGCTACCCACCTATGAAAACAAATTTGAAAATATCATGTTAGCTTAGACTTTGCATGTATTCTCGAAACTAGATACTGTCAACTTCTCCGCTGTTCTTCTACCTCGTTGAAAAATATGTTACACGTCCAATAACGCCATGCCCGATGTACAAACAATGGTTTATCCCCGTATCTGGATGGCAGCTCAGAGCTCCCTCAACGTACACGTCGGTTCCTCCTGAGAAAGGTTATATGAATAGGTGTGTGATTACGATACGAATCGTGTCTCATTTAACCCTTGCTCTTGGTGTTGAGAATCAGGGCAACAATGAGGCTGTGACAGAGTCAGTATGAGCCATATGTATGGCATGTATTGGGAAG